GGGGGTAGAAGTGAAATGGTGGTCTTCTCTTCTGACCTGACAATGCACTTTCCCCACATCTTCGACGTGGGAGAGTCAGCAGGCGGGGCTCGCGGCACAATGTCCTGCAGGGCGCGGGAGTGGACGAGTTTGATGAAGGTGGTGTGGCTGGGTGTGAATGTGTTGTTGATTTTTGCTTCGCAGCGGGTGCGCCAGATTGCCCAGCGTCCGAGGTGGTACAGGATCGTGGCAAGCGCTCGCATTTCCTTTTTTCGCGCAAGCGTGGTGGGGAAGGGACCGAACAGGAGGGCTTTGTCGAACATTGGGAGGGAACTTGAGTGAGCGTGCTGGAAGATGGCGTTCGCGGTTTCCCAAACCGCTTGGGCTGTGTGGCAGCGGACAAGGATGTGGTGCCAGGTTTCTTTGGCCGAGCGGCCGTCGTGTTTGCAGTGCGCGCAGTCGTAGCGCCCGGTGGCAATTCTGTCGTCGTACTCTTCGCGGGAGAGCGAGCCGGCGATCTGTTTCCAGCCAGTCGGCGCCCAGTCGGACCGAACCCACCTCTGCTATCGAGTTGATAGGCCATATGCAAATGGAGCTCTTTGGCGATGCCATCATCCTAAAAAGTGTCTGTGTGTCACATCTTGGCTCAGTCACTTTCCGTTGTTTTTCAATGTCGTCCAAGCGCAACCCGCAAACGGCTCCGTTTCCACCGGCCGCAAGTCGGAAGGCGAATGCACGTCGCGCATCTGAAGCCCTTTCAGATGCCAGTGAAGTGAGGGCGCCGAAACAGTCAAAACTGGCAGCCGTAAGTGGACAAAGGTTGCCTGTGTCTTGGCAGTTTTGCGCGCCTTTTTTGTGTTGTTTTCTTCTCGAATACTCTTCACCCACCCACTCACGCACCCATCCGCCCAGTCAACTTCCTTCCCCGTGCAACACATTAAAGGCTTTATTCTAGAGCCGCCAAACATGGCATGGCCTTTCCATTCCGCCCAACCCACCTTTTTCCCGTCTTTTTTGAAACTCTGGAGTTTTCACCTTCACCGATGTCTTGGTAGGACGACATGTTTGGGCAAACACGCGGCAGAGTCTTCCCAAGCGCTCGAAAATCGAGCTCAGCTTTGGCGCGTGCAAAGCGGGCGTCAACTTTCACAATAACGATTGACGACACAGTGAGTGGGAAATGTGCAGTTTCTGTTGAAGGTTGAAGCTGACGATGTGTGTTCAAAGCAGGGTGCTGGTTTAGCAACCAACAGCAGCCAGGCTGCGCCAGTGCAAGTCAGTGCTCAAAGACGCTTGGTTTCTGAGATGGATTGGTGGTTTGCTCCTCAGACTGACAATTGCTTGTTTTGTCCACAGGTCCCTGCTCACCTCACAGCCGAGGAACAACAGCAGTACCGTGATTTACAACACCCACTTCTTCAAGCGCCATTCCGTAAGCGCCGTTTGACGAGATTGGTGCGAGCTGTTTCGACTCAATGTGTGCGCGCTCATGAACGCATGCTGGAACAACAGGAGAGCTGAAAAGCACGCCAGCCATGATCCGCGATTCGCTCCGTGGCCTGATCACATTGGAGCGAAAGCAAGTACGTTTCTAGTCGAGCGCAATGACCGAATTGTGAAGTTTGTCTAATGTTGTTGCTCTGCAGACCCGCTACACACGACAGAAGGAAACCTCCTCCTCCATCGAGGCGCTGCTGAAGAAACGGATGAAAAAGACACTCGCAAACGACACTGATCCACTTGAGCATCGGTCGTTTCTTGCTGCCACAATCCCTGGTACAGGGAACTCGGGTCTGTGCGACGCGTTTGTGCATCAAATTGCCCCGGAAGCTCATCGTTACAGAGAAAACGATCCGTTGTGCTTATCCGTCTCTTTCGACGGTCCTTCCGGTTTCGACTCTGCAAACGACTGGACAGTTCTCAAGCAAGCCAATCCGGAGCACGCTCTGTCGACTCGCCTGCTGGCTGCCTACTTTGAAATTCCCCCGAGGTTTTTTCAGGACAACTTTGAACAAACTGGCAGCTTCCAGGTCGCTGCTACGCTCCAGTTCATCCAAGAGTTTGAGTACTCGGCTCGTAACGACAGTCAGCAGCCCACGAGTCATGATCAACTGCCGTGGCTTGCCATCGCTGTTGACGGAATTCAACAGTTGCTTGGCTGTTCGAGCTGGCACAACGCTCAACGTCAACGTCGGCTGCTGGACAAGACTCTCGCGTCACTCAAGGCTGCCGTTAAGCGCCCCGCAGCGCGACTCTTTGTGCTTTACGCTGGCACTTTGTCCGACGAACTCACCACTGGCCTGATTGAGTCGTTCCACTCTCAAACCTCAACTTCAAGCAAGTTTGACGTGGATGAGGAGGAGGTGCCTGAACCCCCGCGCGTGGATGCAAACCTCGAGAGCCAGTTGCATCCTTCCGGTGGCATACCATGCCACATTGAGAAGGTTCTTGGTGTGATGGCAAGTGGCGCGGCGGCTAAACTCTGTCTGAATGCCCGCACGTTTATCGAACTCGTGCACTTCTGTGCGTTCGACGCGTTCTCGATCAACCCTTCAAGTCTGGACGCCCGAACTCGCTCTTGGATTAACACAGGATGTGCTTTCGTCGGTCAGTTGGCTGGTTGTCACACTTCAAGATGCTGGACTTGACTGATTGTTGTGTTGACTCCTTCCGCCTTATTGATGACAAACAACAGCGTGCGAGAAAGACAGCAGAGGGTCGTTGCAGTTCAATTTGCCCAGCGAGTCGAAACTTGGTGAGGATTTCTGGAATTGCTTTTGTGACCTGAGAAACGACAAGTTGACGTGCTCGTTGAGTGTTTGCAGATCTACGTTCGGGTGACGCCCCACTAAGACGTGACACGCTCGCACAAACTGTGCGCTCGGCCTACCGCCATGTCGATGAACTTCAGCGCAGGATGGAGCATCACTTCACGGATCGTTATCTTCCTGCAGTTGCGTGGGAGCATACTGTGGTTAACCTTTTCAACTTGCGATTGATTGTACTTGTCGCCAAAGCACTGCTGGATCATACTGACGCTTCGAAGCAGCTTGACGCTTCAAAACAGCCTGACGCATCAGACCAGACTGGTGCACCACAGCTGCCGGCTCACATTGATGTACCGCTGAGTCGGGTGCTACCTGGCGTCAAGTTTGGTGCGGGATGTGAGGGACTCCAACTTCGGTTGCCACTGAGCAATTGGAGGGAAGACCTGACGTGCATGATGAAGCTCGACAATGCTGAATGTACACTCGCAACTCACATTGAGCCGGCTATTGACTGTTACATGCATGCTCAAGTCGTCGAGAAGGTAAGTTGCCAAACCCTACCGCCCTTTTGTGGTTTGGATCTTTACTCACGTTGTTGGCATAATGTTGATTGCAGACTAGCGGCAAAGTGCGTCCGGCAGTCATTGGACTGCAAGTAAAGCATCACAAGTCTCTTCGTCTCACCACCAAAGACGAGATTGAGAGACTGGAAACAAATGCTCGGAGGGAACTCGCCCGAAAGTATGTCATGGAAGAAGGCACTGTGATTCTTGTCGGAGTCATGTTGACGTCTCGAGTGACGATTACAAATCAGCCGCCGCTTTCGTGGGTGATGCACCGCGGGCGACCTGGAGCAATTCGCTCAAGGCTTCCAGATGACAGTTCCTTGAAACCGCTCCTTGCACTGCAAGATTGCATGTCATTATCGCTCACCACACTTCTGCCGCCCTCGTAAAACGTGACAAAGCGTGAGTAGAGAGATGCTTGTTCAACAGTCAAACAACATGAATGTGGAATGCTGTTGACATTGTCAATTTGTACTGTGTGCACAAAAAGCACAAAAATTCACCTCGAGTCACGCAAAGAATCAACCAAATCAAGCCAGCTCCACTTTAGTACTCAGAACATCCACCATTCTCGTCAATCACGTCTTGGATGCAGCGTGGCATCGAGGAAATGGTATCTCGGCAGACCTCATTCAGGACGGTAAACCTTCTCGTGCGATTGTACAGGTTGAGGACCAAGATCCACTACTGGCGGTCAAACTTTGTGAATTGAGGAAAATGATGAGCGGAATTTCGCCACAGCTGATGATTGCATCGAGTTTTGAATTGGCTCTTCTCTCCGACTGCAAACTCATCTCCTTCCATTGGCTTTTGGACGATCTTAACCGAATTTTCAATCATGCTTTCTTATACTGGCTTTGTTTGCTTTGAGATGTGATTGGTTGCTGGTCCGCCGGGACACAAAACACCAATGCACGTCCACTTTTCGACTAAAGTTGCTCACCAACCATGACCATGAACGCCGAGCACGGACCTAGAACGAGCCAATACACACCAGGATTGGGTCGCTTTGAGGTTGTTCGGCAGTCTTTGTTTTTCGCTGTTTTAATTTACCACACTTCGAATGATGCTGACGTATGCGAATATGAATCAGAGACAGCGCGAGCTGTATGACGAAGTCATGAATGGGCCCAACTATGTCGAGTACGAAGCCGAGTTTATTGGAATGAATGTGGCAGTGGGTGCACTGACGAAATGGAGGAACAGTCTGCACGACAGAGAGATTGGCGACGCTGAAGCACTGGCAATTGCTGAGGCACTCAAAGTGAAAACGACAGTGACCATGATCAGGTAAGTTGTTTGTGCTTGTGATCCAGCACAGCATTCAGAGTGCTCAACGATGGACGATGGTACGAACAGTCTGCTCCACAATGAGATTGGCGAAGTTGGAGCGCGCGCGATTGCTGAGACACTCAAAGTGAACACCAGGCTGACTTTTCTCTTGTAAGGCATCTCAGTCATACGGCAATACGGGAGTGGGGGACTATTCAACAAAAGGCACTAAGAGTGGAGCGGATGGGCAGTCTCGGCTGTAATCACATTGGCGATGCCGGCGCTCAAGCGATTGCTGAGGCACTCAAAGTGAACACAACGCTGACTACGCTCTTGTAAGTCATCTCACTTTGACTGATGCATGAGAGTGGATGATTCAGCACAAGCAATTGTGAGTATTGACTGCTGGAGGATGGACAGTCTGGGCTGGAGTCAGATTGGTGATGCCGGAGCTCAGGCGATTGCCGAGGCGCTCAAAGTGAACGCAACGCTGACTGAGCTATTGTAAGACACTGCCACTAAAGCGCGCGTGGGTGACTACAGGTGAGAGACAGCGAGAGTGGCTCACTGATGGGACGGGACGGACAGTCTGTGGCACAATGAAATAGGCGATGCCGCAGTTCCATCGATTGTCGAGGCGCTCAAAGTGAACAAGACACTGAAGACGCTTGAGTAAGAATTGATTGCGGAAAATGCTCGGACGGTCACGAGACTCATGCTATGAATCATCCGACGACAACAGGTTGCACGGGAACTGCTTGTCCCGAGGTGCAATCGATGCACTGACACAAACGGGCAATACATGCATTACCTGTGGGAAAATGAGGTAAGACTTTGCGTATTCGCTTGAAGAAACAAGGCACAACACAACGGTTAGATGCATTGGCTGAAACTATTGTTGAACAGAGTCCAACCCAAGAACGAGCCGTCGCCCGCCACGTCGGCGCTGAATGCCGCTACAGCCGCCGCAAGCATTGTGCCTCAGAGTTCAGACACTCTTGCAACTGAAAATCAGCAATTGCGCTCCGAGCTGGCTGCCAAAGATCAAGAGCTCGCTGACGAACGGCAGAAGCTGGCGGCCAAAGATCAAGAGCTCGCGATGAAGGAACAGGAGCTCGCGGTGAAGGATCAGGAGCTCGCGGCGAAGGAGCAGGAGATCGCAGTGAAGGAGCAGGAGCTCGCAGCCGCAAAGCTGGAGCTCGCAGCCGCAAAGCAAGAGCTCGCTGACGAAAGACAACTACGCGCTGCAAAGGAGCAGGAGCTACAGCTTCTGCTCGGAGTTGCAGACAGAGAAGATTGGATCGATGTAAAGTCGCCAGCGGACGATGATAAAGCAAATGTTTGAATAAAGTGAAAACGTTACAGAACTATGGGAGCATTGTGACACTCACGTGACAAGGAACGCAAAAAGCATGGAGAATGCGCAAATACGAAAACAGCGTACGAGTAGCAAACGAACAAGGGAAGTTAAGCGTTCCTGGGGGAAAACAGTAGTTCTAGCGGCGCTTGGACAACCAACGCAAACAAGAAGAATCAAACGAGAGGCGCCGAACCAAAGTGTTCGGGTTGAAAGCAAACGACGGCAACATAAAATGGAAAATAGATAAAAAATCGAGGTGTCATGTCGAAGAAGAATAAAAACAAATAACTCGCAACTCGTCCAGCAGCAAAAGTCGTGCACGTGTCAGGACCCGCAGGCTCTGCGGTCCCGACTGGGTCGTTCTTTGCTAAGAAGACTCGGCGTTGATGTCTTTGTATTGTTTGTTTGCATGCATTTGGAATTGCAGTTCAGTCTGCAAAGTGAAATAAAACACTTTACAACAACATTGCCTGGCTAACCCTACCAAGGTCTTACAGCACGAACGAAGAATGGTAACAGAAGAGTACTCCCGATATGAAGCTGCAAAATCGCCTCCGTCACGAGACGCTGTCCCCTCCTCTCTCCAATAAAATCTGAGTTGTTGTGCGTTAAAACCCCCATCTGTTGTCCGTGGATGGCGGTAGACTCGGCGTAGGCTGCGCGGCGGAGGGGGTTGTGGAGTGTGGTTTTCACGCGCGCGCGACCCACCTCACCGTGGTCCCTAGACAGCTCAACCGGCATGTTTAGCACGCGTTGGGAGGTCCACATCATGTACCAACTTCATCGTGTGAGCTGCGGATCGGATCGTTTGGTCCTTCTGGTCGCTGCCCAGAACACGCTCTCGGGGAAAGCAAAACAACGAACTTAGAAAAACAAAAGACCTCGCGAATGCAGCGTTTCTTGTGAAGCTTGCCAACATGCTGCTGCGCGGTATGCAGACCTGCTCCCACCGCCGCGCACCGGACCGAGTATCTAAAATGTACATTCTATACGTGGGATCAGAGAAGGGAGGATTATGATCAAACACGGCCCGACAGTACGGTTGCAAAGACATGCGTTTATTCGGCAACACAACAAAGCAAAGGCTGTGGTCAGCAGTACCGCCCAAATCTGTGCACAGGAGGGGCGTGTGTGCGCAAAGTTGCGCTACGGACGTTGTTGGGAGGCACATCTTTTCAAAAACGTTCGATCGGGCCGGTCCAGGTCGCGCAGGTCGGGCTCAAAAGGCTCGCTGTCGTCGTCGCTGTCCGTGTCGCTCAAATCGCCATCATCACTGTCAGGCTCGCGGTTGCCAAACACGTGTTGCCGAGATCGACTGGGGCGAGTATTGGCAGGTAAACCAGCGTTGTCTTGATAGAGGTGATCGAACCAATGTTTCGAGGCGGCGTCAAGACGAGCGCGCTTGCGTGAGCTCTCCTCGGACGAGTTGGTGCCCGCATCAAGCGATAGAGCTCTGCGCCGCCGTGTACCAGCAGTCTCCGTCAAACCATCTGCTGGAGCACTTTGACTGGAGCTGTTGGCAACGGAGTTGACGGGCATTTGCGCAGAACGACGGCGCTGATCTTCCGACCTTTCAAACGCTTCCACATCGCCAGCGACGATGTACGCAGCGCTGGCGCGCAGTGAGGACTTTGGTGGCCTGACAGCGGGTCTGAAGCTCGGCTTGACGCCCGGCACTTTGCGAGCAGCGTACTCTGTGTGCTTTGCGTAAGCTGCAGCTCGCTTCGCGCTGATAGTCGCTGCCCGGGTCTTTTGAGCCTGCCGCTTTGTTTGATTAAAAGTTTTATCAGTAAACAGGGTGCGCATTGCTCGCTGTCGAGAGACTGAACTCAGGGAGCGGGTAGCGAACGTTCGAACTGCCTTCACGACGGTTGCGAGCGCTTTGACTGGCAAAGATAATTTTTGCAAATCATCAAACACTGGCTGCAGTCGAAGCGAGATCTCGTGGACGACTTTCTGCGCCTGGGACGAGTGCCTCAAAGGTGGTGAGTCGCTGTCGTCGGAGTCGGAGTCGTCGTCTTGAAACAGGCTCGTAGCCTGCATAGCTGTGCGTATTGACGGTAGTGTGATCGAAGGTGCAACTGAGGGTGCAACTGAGGGTGCAACTGAGGGTGCAACTGAGGGTGCAACTGAGGGTGCAACCGAGGGTGGTGCGACCGAGGGTGTAACCTCTTCCGCTGCCGTAGACGAAGTCGAAACAGTCGAAGAAGTCGGTTCAAACATTTCTGCTTCCCTGACATGCATGCCATCGCCACTGCCGTGCTCATAACTTGGTTCACTCGAGTTCTGGTCTTGCGGAACATCTGCACCAACTGAGACAGGCGTCTCAGGGTCTGCAGTTGTGCGGACAGGACTTGGAGCCTCACGATCTTGAATGAGCGCGTCCAACGCGATACCAAACACTTCCAGTCCACCAAGCAGGCGGGCAGCAGCTCTAATGTGCGTGCACACGAGGGAGCAGTCGTGGAAGTCGGTGCAAAAACGGGACTTGACGACGACGATGGTAACACTCTTCTTGTATCCCCGATAAATATCGTCGCGCAATTTGTGCCAGTAGTCCTGTGGTACCAACGCATAGTCTCCGATATCGGTGCTTTGACCAAGTCCGTGGGTCTTCATGTGACCGGTTGCAAAGTCCCTCAAGTCCTCGCTGCGTAGGGTTGCTGATTCCGGGATCACCATGCCAACACCAGCGTTGTTGTCGAGTATCACGACACGGTTGTCCAGCACTCTGGCCTTGGCTGTCGACTCGTAGTTCCAGATACGCTCGCGATACTTGGGGAGGCAGGCGAGATTTGGAACGTTGACGAGGAGCCATTGACGTTTCAAGCAAAACTTCTCATTGACATCCCGAATGAGCTTGGTCGCCAGCGTTGGCAAATCCGAGTTCGAGTTGGAGTTGAGATGCGTCATTTTGATTGACTTGAAGAGTCTGCGTGCGAGACAACAACGAAGGCAAGCAAGATCAGCAAAGTGGGGGACGCCAGTTTAAGTACAAAGCCTCTCCAAACCGATCGGTCACTCACCTCTCAATCAAATTGTTGGTAGAACCCTGGTCCAACGCTTTCGGGATGGTTCCGATATGCGGAAGCGTCCAGGTTTCGATTTGGCCCTTGGCAAACCATTCTTTCTCCAGGTACGCCAAGTCCTTCTCGCTCAGTCCGGCCTCTCTGACGCTCTTCACGCGGCTTTCAAGCTCCTCCAGGGACCTGGAACGCCGAACTTTCTTGAGGATCTTCTCAATGTCGGGATGAGAAATATTGCGCAGGACGGCCTGCTTGACATGAAACCAGCAAGTGGAAATCTGAACATTGACGGCCTCCCTGATGGCAGCTGCCTCGGCTTTGCACTTGTCAATCACAAAACGCAGAGGCTGGAAGCAAGGGCCGAGCGCCTCCTTGAGCACCGACAAGAATTTTGCGTACACTGCCGCGGTATCGTTGGAGGCTATCATGAACGCCAGGGGAACGGCTGAACCGCACTCGTCTGCTGCAACAAGCGCCGTCAAGCCCCAGCGGAGCTTGGTCACCTTGTAGGTGGTGTCGAGGAACAGGACTTGAGGGCGCAGCGAGCTCCACATTGCGCGTTGGCACGGCGTGACCAGAACAAGAATGCCTGGCGAATCACGGCAATTAGGATCCTGGGCCTGATGAAAGAGTACGTCTGGATACTGTTGATATGACTTGATGCCAGGACAAACTCCACACCGACCCACAGGATGCGGGTGCGCCAGCGCACGCGAGGTTGGGCTGGTTAACAAGTCTTCCATGCGCATTGCCTCGGAACCAGCCGTCTCGGGGTTGAAAGCCTTGACCATCATGCGTAAAGCGTCATGCGAAGGATACCAACGACCAGACGTCAGTGGAACGTTCCAAGACGGGTGTGGGACGGGTGGCGGGTTTGAGGCGCTGCCTTGAAACTGTTGGACGATCGATGTGACGTCGCAGCGCTTGGATGCGAGATCAAATGCCCATGTTTGGATGCTCGGATGCGCTAACTGCTTGTGAGCAAAGACGCCCTCCGTGCACCGAGCATCGTGCTGGCCGGCGAGAGAAACTCTCCAACCAACAACCTGCAGCGTGTTGCCGTCTACTTGAACCAGGTCGGATTTCGAAATGGCAAAGGTACACGAGCCTTGCCCTAATCCTGGCTGCACGCGGAAGTCGTTGTCGAGTCGATGCGTATGCATGGGGTGTGTGAAGTCTAATGATTCGAGAAATCGGTCTTGAATCATCGACGAAGCTGGAGACGGCTCCTTGCTGCTTGTTGACCGGTGATTGAAGCACCAGAAGCGCTGTGTCCTTGAGCACAGCACGGGTCGGTTCTCGAACCAGAGGTTGAGTTGGTCACGCTCATCTTGCGTGAGGTAAACCGGCGACGTGCCTGGGTGCGAGTTGAGATCATCCTCATCAATGGACTCGGAAACCTCGTCTGCGTGGGTGAGCTGAGCTTCCGGAACCGAAGACACGGACGATGCAGCAAGGTCGTCTTCAGCATCATGTGGAGCGTGGGCAGAGAGAACAGGCGAAGCCGAATCCATCTCATCTCTGACCTGAGACCTGCGTGACTGACCAGGACAGTAGTCGTGCTTCAAACGCAAGTCGATTGTACTTTGTTGGCTTTCCCAGAAGTCCTCCAGGCTCTGCGGATCGTTGAACATCAGGCGGGTGTGGGCAAGCTCGGCGAGCCTCGTTGTCGGAGCGTTTCTGGCTGCCTCCTGGGCTGGCTCCTCGGCTGGCTCCTCGGCTGGCTCGCTCGCCTGCTGATCTTTCAACGCAGCCTTCTTGGCAGTAGCTTTTTTACGATATCTGGCGTTGTCATCAGTGCACGACTTGCATGTCTTTCGTCCCTCAAAGAACTCGAACGATCGGCGGTCGTGATTGTTTTTGCTGCACCTGAAGGAAACAACCGCCATGAGCTGCGACGTCTTCACAACTGTGTTGTCATGTTGCACTCGCATGATGTTATCTTGGTCGAACGTGACTAGCTGGATGATGGGGGTTTCGGGCGAGGTCAAGAGTTCAGGCGGGATGAAGCCTGGGAGCGCCGCCGTAACATGGCGGACCATGAGCCGGTCCGTTCGCGGGGGGAGCTCAAGTTGAAGTGTTTGATCGGCCGGGCTGGGCATGGCGTCAACCACGAAGGTGACGGTGAGTATTGGCGACCAGGTTGTGGCGGGATTTTCTGGCGCTGGAACGCTCATTTGGTGAAGATGTGGAGCGCGATGCGTGCGTGCGCGTGTGCGTGCGTTTGTCCTGTGTTTGATGCAGAAAGATGTCTAGAATGTGAGGATGGGAGCTCGGCACGCAGAGCAGCAAGGGGCTGACGTACGGAGCGATCGAAGAACGATCACAGGGAAAAGGACTGAGCAGACCGCAAAGATCAACTCTCCCCGTTTTCATCCCGCTCTTTTGGGGCTCGTCCACCGAGCGTCTAAAGTCCCCCCGCGCGCCGCGCGGGGCGTTTTCGTACATTAAATATGTTTCTTTTTGTTTTGCAACCACGAAGGCGGGCGAGTCCCAGACGGACGAGCTCAAAACCCGCCTTCCAATGAACAACGCTCGGCGACGCGACGGATCGTCGCGGAGCGACCGAATTTTTCCATTCTCTTTGAAGCACTCCATTGTGCCTACCTTACGGAACACGAATTGCAAAGCACAATGACGAATATCCGGAAATGCCGAGCGGGCAGTAGCCCGCTCGTGCATCAGAAACCCATGCCTTGAAGAACGCCCAAAACCAACAAAAAAAACGCAAAAACAGAAAAAAAAAGCTGGAAAACCGCCCTCCTTTGGAGCGATCCCCGCCCACTCTGGTGGCCCTAGGCATGCAGTATACATGGTACTGATCACATAGCGCGTTGTGGCGGCGCTGGATGGCGCACATAGTGGTCAAGGGGACATGGCAAAGCCTTTACTTTTATAGAAAACCGCTTCATATTGAGAGTCCTCTTCTATTACCACGAAGAATGGGGCGAAATCGAACAAAAGTGAAAAAATCAAAGGAAACAAAAAGCCAGAAACCACACAAACCAGCAAAACAATCAAAAACAAATCAGCAACAAGGGTCAACAAACAATGCCATTAGCGAAAAGCAATGGAAGGATGCTAAGTGATAATCCAACAAACGATCAACGAGCGACAAGAAAGTGAAAAAAAAACAAACAAAAAGAATGACAGTTAGGGTTGAAAGCTGCCTCCCGGTTAAAAGCTGCCTCCCAGTTAGGTGTTAGGTCCCTTCCGAATTTGGACCCACTTTTTACAGCAGAGGTAAGATAACCATCTTGTTCGAAAAATTGTGCTGATTCCGAATCTGTAATGAAAAGTATATCTTATCGGTCTAGTTTTCGTGCAAATCGCCAAAAATGGTGAAAATTGCACATTTTTTTCGCTGTTTTCACGATAGCTTTCTTCCCCTCTGATTTTACACCACAAGTTTCATGGCCATGTTAAACTACACACTACGCCGGTTCTGAATCTGTATTAAGAGGTATACGTCATCGGACTCGTTTTCGTGTAAATCGACCTGAAAGGTGAATTTTCCGCTTTTGCCACAATTTTCTGTCTCGTTTTGCAGAAAAAAGTTTCGCATTCATATTCATCTGGAAAGCGTGCTGATTCCGAATCTGTACTTATATGGGTACCAAATCGGGCGAAACATAGTGTAAAATGACATTAAAGGGATGTTTCGCATGCTTTTGCATTGTTTTCGCCAATCCTGTCCCCCACGTCATGTTTTCGAAAAAAGTGAGATGACAATTTTGATACGAAAATGCGCTGATTCCGAGTCCGTATGAAACAGTGTACGTCATCCGGATGAGTCAGTCCTCTTTTTCTGTGTTCCAGCGCCTTCCCACCAAAGCCCGAACACACACGCCCAACGTCAGCAAACCAACCGCCCAACGCCAACCCAGAAATGACTGGTCCGTCCAAGAATTCTGGGACTGGTCCAGGCCAACCCGCCATCGCGTCAGCGCTAGCGGCGGCCGCCCAACATCAACAACGAGCCAGGACTGCGTCCCCAAGCAGCCAAGTGGACATGACGTCCAATGACCCCGCGCCCGTCCTCCCCACCGCGACATCCGGTGGCAACGCCGCTCCCGGCACAGCTGGCAACACCAACGCCAGCACGACCACCACCCCCGGCCAAGCCGGCCAGGCCACGGCGACGGCCCCCACCGCGGCTTCTGCTGCGGTCTCCTCGCCTGCGGCCTCATCCTCATCCTCATCCTCATCCTCATCCTCATCCTCATCCTCATCCTCCTCCTCCTCCCCCTCCCCCTCCTCCTCCTCCCCCTCCACTGCCTCCTCTTCCTCATCTGCCGCAACCACCACTGCGACCAGCGCCCGGGCTAGCCTCGGCG